CAAATTATAAAGGGCGAGGTATATAGTTTAGTGTGAAGGCCCTGGTTCAATCCCTAGTACCAAAAAAAAACAAAATAGAATTCAAAGGCTGTAGGCACAAAGATGTGTTTCTTCGTCTTCTGTTCTATCCCATTGGTCGATATGTCTGTTTTGTGCCAGTGCCACACTGTTTTTACTATGGCTTTACAGTATAATTTGAAATTGGATATTGTGATGTCTCCAGCTTTGAACTGTTTTTACCTTTTTTGGGTCTTCTTTGGGTCTTTTTTCACTCCTGTATAAGTTTTATGATTATTTATTTTAGTTCTGTAGAGAATTTTTTGTATTTTAATATGGATCACTTTGAATTTGATGATTGTTTTTGGCAACCTGACCATTTTCACAACATTGGTTCTGCCAGTCCCTGAACAGGGGAGGTTGTTCCATTTCTAATTACTTCTTTAAGGTCTTTCTTCCTTGTTCTGTAATTTTCCTTATAGAGCTCTTTCATCTTGGTTATGCTGATTCCCAGGAAATTTTTTTCTTTGAAGCTATTGCTGAATGAACTTGTTTTCCTAATTTCTTCCTCAAGGGACTCATTGATTTTTGTGTGTTGATTTTCTATCTTGCCACTTTGCTGGATTGGTTTATCAGGTAGAAGAGTTTTCTGGTGAAGTTTTCAGGGTCTTCTCCATAAATGACCACAATGCCTGCAAATAGTATTTCTATTTTAAAAGTTTAAATTAGTATAATTTAGCTGACCAGAACTTCAGCAATAAAATTCAATTTAGTAGGCTAAATCAAAAAGCAAGTTGCAACTAATTTCTCATAAACTATTGCCCATTCTTCTTCACAAAAACTGTCAAATATGAGCAGACAAATGATATAGTATAATAAAATGTGTCCCTGGCATATATTTGAGTTCTATTAACAAATGTTTCAATTTTATGTTCTCCATACTCCTGAACACCCAAGGATGAAGTCTGTGTATAGATTCTTCTGCAGTTAGATTATTTCCAAAATATAGCTCAAAAAGAACTGCCAGATCCTAACTGCAGTGAAAACAAGTTTCACCATGCCTACCAGAGACTTGGCCTCCATGGTGATCTTACACAGAAAGAGCATGGAAATGCTTTTTAACTGTGCAAATTCAGGGTTATTCTGAATACTTTGCTCCAGAGAAAAGTATCTCATCTCCTAACCCGCACTTTCTACCCCAGCCCTATCCATCATCATTTTTGATAATTTTTACAGATACAGTGGAATTTGGATGTATAAACTTAGAATTCAAAAATTAAACTTCTCCCATCTTGGAACTAACCCTTGATTTCTTCAAATGTAAATGTAACACTCTTGAGAGTATTGAAAGGGGACAGATGTTTATTGCAACTGAATTTTTCAGTTATAAATTTCCTGAGACTATGTTTTGATAGAAAAATGTTACTAGGTACCTGAGATATGAAACAGAGGGAGAAATCTTCCAAGGGAGTTAAATGGACTAGATGATGAACCCAGTCTGTCTAACAATTGTTCTTGGTTTTAACAGTCTGAATAATTTATCTTTTCATGGCAATAAAATAGGATACCCAAATAATTACCAAAAAAATGAGTCTTATAGTATACTAGAAGAAAAGTTTTATTGTTTTAAAAATATAGTATAAATTGATTATTCATATAATAATAAAGCTCAAAGACACCTTAAATTGGTAATAGTTTGGGGATGTCTGGGGTGTAGATTCCTCCATCTTAATTGTGTATAGGAGGGTTGCAGAGCAAGAATGCCAGACACTAAATCTTCCGAGGTGCTGATATGCCAACAGATATGTGTTTTTAACCCCAAAATCCCTTCTTCTGGTATTCTGTCTCTTAGTAAGGTGACTATATAAATAATGATGATTTACTGTGTACTTCAAAAACAGCTAGAAGAAAGGATTTTGAGTATTTTAATTACAAGTAAATGATACTTGAAGAAATAGATATATTTACCCTGATTTAACATTACACAATGTGTACATATATTAACATAGAATCCTGTAAAAAGATACAATATTTTGTGTCAATTTAAAATCATAAATATCCTTTTTATAACAAAAAACCATTAGCCACTGTCAACCACTCCCACTAGGAACCCTAGCCGCACAGCCAGTAAAATTACCTCACAGACATGTGATAAGTGATACTTCTGCCTGCTAATTTCCATGCAAAAATGAAAGATTAATTCATTTTCTATTATATTTGGTATTCTAAAGCTCAAAAATAAACTAACATATTCTGTTCTTGCCTAATTAGTACTAAATTAGAAAGCAACTTCTAGATAAATATAAACCAATTAATCGTAATACTATTTTTCTAAACATTTTTAATAATTTTTAATAAAATATTAATGCATATTATTACAACAATGCTTTCTTCTTTCCTTCAATAGAATCTAGGCTTCCATTTCACAAGGTCTGGAAATACAGCAAAATATTTCCAGGACCTGAAGTGGTTTGTAATGATCTGTTCTGAAAGGGAAAGAATCGATAGCATCTTGATGTTCTTTCATCTCTCGATTGTGCAATTAAAATTCTAACACCTCGATAATTGCTAAAGCAATATAAACTCTAAAAGCTGGGGTAGTATCCTAAGAAAACATTCAGAAGAATAAATGCAAGGTAAATATTTGCCTTTGCACCCTTAAATAGTCAAAAAAGGAAAAACTTAGTACTTTTAACCACGCCCCCTGGTAGAACTTGACTGGGGTTGAAAGTCAGGTTTATATCTTTTTCAAGAACGCATTCATATGATCTATTAAGAATGAATTCATGGGGCTGGGGACTTAGCTCAGCGGCAAAAGCACCTGCCTGGCAAGTGCAAGGCCGTGAGTTCGGTTCCTGGTACCGGAGAAAAACCAAAAAAAAACAAACAAAGAATGAATTCATACTGCACTTAAGATCTGTAAAGTCCTCACTAACCGAAAAAACCCATAGAATTCTGACTTTGTTCTATTTTCAACTCCTCTCGTCTTATCTCTGTGTCTGTGACTGTCTTAATTCCCACAGCTGTCACCGGCACCTCACTGGGGCTCCTCCCTCTCTCTCCTGACGACACACACATCCGTGAAACCCTCAGCGACCCCGTGAAGGGCACCAAGAAGCCCACAACGGTGAGAAGTGCGCGGTTGATCCCGCTCTTCCTAAGCCTTCCTCGCTTTTCTCAGCTAACGGAGAACAGGTGGGATGGGCGCCCGCCTGGACCAGGGCTGCGCCTCTGTGGAGCTGAAATCGGTGACTGTTGTACTCACTACGCCCAGCCAGCCTCAGAATGAGGGGAGAACGGGCTGAGAACCAGGAGCAGGTGGGGGAATGCCAAGAAGCAGTTCAATTACAAGCTCTGGAGAGCAAGGCCCCTCCCCGTACCCTACAAGCTGACCTATAGTAGTCACTCTCCAAGCATGAGAACAAATAAATCAAGCAACCAATGACACCCCTTCTCCATGAAATGTGAGTCCAGACTGACAAGGAAAGTTTTGCCTCAGTTACACCCAGTGTGAATAGGTGAGGTAGGATTCAAAATGGTCAAAATCATACTTCAAACTGGGAAAACATTAAAACTAGGGCACAGAACAGTACGGGCACCACTTGGAGGGAAGAGGCACGCAGCTGAAAGGGTTGTTAAGGACGTGATGTTGAGGATCAAAACACAGAAATGAGAACCTTCCCCACAAGCTTGGGGCCCAGACACTCGGCGCTGCGGCGGCGGGAGGCGGCCCTCAGTCAGTTCTCAAGGGCGGTGGAGCCGGGGCAGCGCAGTGAGCAGGAAGGGCACGCGGGAACCGGGTTCTTTCCGTCCTGCTGTGCCTGTGTCTGTGAGGTGCCCCCGCCCTCCCCCTCCCTGCACCTCCCTCCAAGGCACGGCCAGCTGCAGGCCAGAGCACCGGGTCCAACCCCACCAGCTCTGCGTGAGAAATCTCTGTCTGCCCTTCACTCCAGGTGGCTGCAGGCTTGGTTGAACTACTGCTGTGAAACAGAGAAGAAAAATATTGTGTTTTTCTGAAAAATCCTCCCTCATCAACACTGAAAGTTATGTTGGAAAAAACTACTGACTATCATTCAATATAGATTTACTATAAAATTTCTAAAATGGATTGTCTGACTTCTCTTTTCTCATATCACCTGTGTTCCATCTTCTTCAAAATCTAATCTAGGTCCATCCTTCCATATAAATATCCCCCAAATATGTCACCCGGCATTCATTACATCCCCCTTAACATCCTCTTTACCATCTGAATCTATCACCTCTTCTTTCATTCAACAAGCCGTTTACCAAGATCCACTGCTGTGCCAGGCAGTGGGCAAGGCGCGGAAGGGCACTGGGAGAGAAAAACAGAATTCCCGCCTTCGAGGGATTTATAATGCCACTGAACAGAACACAGCACCTCAGTGCTCTGATTGAAGTGAGCAGGGGTGTAGACCAGGACAGAGGCTAAACCAGGACAGCCTATAGAAGGTGCATCCTTAGTCCTGTGTACTCCGGAGTTCTGTGCATAAATGGCACCGTGCTTTTGTTTTGGAAGATTCAGTGAAGCACAAAACTTATACGATGAAACAAGGTTTGCAATTGAAAAGGAACTGCAGGTGAGAGCGTGATGGAGGCCAGCTAAGGCCTTGATGTTAGTCAGTGCCACAGGACTTCCGAGGAGGCGATGAAGTCCAGGCCTGGAGAGTCACAGCAAATGTTATTTTAGATGAGCCATGGAATATTGGTAAGAAGGAAGAGGAGTGCGCACGTGCATGTGTTGTGTGTATGAGCATGTGTGTATGCGTGTGACTGCTGGAGCTGGGGAGCAGCAGGGGCGTCTCCAGTGTGACACTAGCGCTGTGATGTGTGAGCACTCTGGTAGTCAGGGCTGAGGAGAGTGCAACTAAAATTATTCAAACAGATGGAATCAGACCACGGGAAGCCACAAACATCAGGGAAGAGCTCAGGTTTTACCCCATAGATAACAGGGCATCTGCTGGGGGAAAACATGAACCACCTTTTTATGCATGCAGTTTATAAAATAAGAGAGCACTTCACTCAGGCCTGGGGATGGAGGGAGGATGGGGACAGAGGGATGTTGACAAAGGTCACACAGTTTTACCTAGACAGGAGGGGTAAGCTTCAGCGATCTACTACACAGAATGCTGACTGTAATCAAAATTTAAAAAATAAAGCAAAAGCAATAAAAATACTGGCTGAGAGTAACTTCTCAGTGATACATTTTAAAACGTACCTGAGTGGTTCATGTGAACTTCAACGCCAGCTCCATGTTACACCCATGCAGACGTTCAGTGGGTATTTTCTTGAATTGATGAAGGAAAATCTGTTAAACAAACATCAGGAGCCTGTTAAGTGTGGACCCGTGTCCTCCAGAGGCCTTTCTAACGTCAGAGGCCACGTTGTCGTCCACACCTAAGAAAAGGCAACAAGAAGAAATAAAGAGGAACCGTACCGCCGCCCTCCAGTCGTCTCTGTCTTTGCAGCAGTTTCCATTGGTTGTTCTCTCTTCTGCTTCTTGAATGCTAATTTCACCATAGAAGACTATTTACATAACCAGAGACTTATCTGACTGTCTGTGAACATATTTCTTGCTTTTTGGAAAAAGCTGTACATAGCCCAGAATAATCTGAGTACCCAAGGCTGGATATTTGTCAAACCGCATGTCACAACCCAGTCCCACACTGGCTTTCTCCTGAGAACCCGCTTGACTTCAGAGCAACAAGACCTCTGCTCAGGTGAAAAGTGTGACCGCTGGTCTTTTGTGCCCCAGGCCAAGCCCATATGCTTGGAACAGCCTTCAATTCTCAGCCACGTGGCTCCAAATCTTGTCCAATTATGCCATTCCATTGGAGAAAAACGTCAGCCTCTCTCTTGGCCTCATAATGCTTTCTGACTCACTGTAATGTGAAATTCAAGCACAAGTATTCCATTAAGTCAGTCTAGACTCTTCTCTGAAAAGGCTCACATTAAATAATATCTTAGCATCTTTAACTCACTTTGTCTAACCCAGTCTTCAGCAAAGGGTGTTTGTAAAGTCAAGCAATGATGTGCAGCAATCCCAATGACACACACGGTGCCAGCAACATATATATTTACATGTACATAGGCACGTATGTGTGGGCTGGGTATGGGGGCTCTATGTGTGTGTGTATGTGAATTTTTTCATGAAAATCACACAGTTATAAAATGACAGTGTTCTCAAGGACTCTGAATAGTTAATTTATTGGAGCTTTGGTACCTGTAGCTCATTGAAATTCAGAGGTGACTACTAATTAATAAACTTCTGTTCTAAAAGCACTTGAACCTGCATGGTTTGTTTTGTTTTTTTTTTTTTGGTTTTTTCTCCGGTACCGGGAACCAAACTCACGACCTTGCGCTTGCCAGGCAGGCACTGTGCCGCTGAGCTAAATCCCCAGCCCCGGTTTATTTTTGATATAATATCAATGCATGTTACATGATACAGCCATTTGTGTGTGGTTTACATTAACAAAAGACCTTTTGCTTGTTGAACTCAGGGTACAGAAATGGACTTCACTAATGTTTCCAAGAGCCCACTGGAGCAGAAGTTGGAGCTTATCATCTCTCTGCCAAACCAGAAGTTCAAGGCAGAGCTTGCTGACCCCAGGTCTGCCTACTACCAGGAGCTGGCAGCAAAGTCACAGCTGCAGGTGAGTGGACACAGCCAGCAGGATGGACATCCTTTTGGCCAATAGTTGCAACTTCTTGTGGCCAGGCACCCATTTTCAATCATTAACCAGAAAGCCACTACTACAATGGTCCCAAAATGTTAGGACAAAGTGCCCATTCCAGCTTGTCCATTCGTAAATGTCCTCTACATTTAAATTTTCTTTAACTATTGCTAAATCAGAAATCGCATATAACTGAAAGCCATGTGTATTCTATATGTCTAAATGAACATTACAGTGATGGTTTTGTGAGCGTATGCTTTTCTCAAAATTCATAAGATGTATACATTAAATATGGTCAGCTTTTTATACATCAATAAAGTGAGTTAAAATTTTAAAAGAATAGCATAAAGTCAAAAGACCACAGAGGCACCAACTAGAGATAAGGCTTGAAATGTGAATTTTAATTCATGATGCTTGGTCTGTACAGAACATCTCCACCTCAGCAATGTGGTGCAGCATGAAGACATGATATCTTCATGGTTAGTCAGTAGAAGGCAATTAGGTCATCCATGACACCCACTGCTAGACTGAGAGTTTCCTAAAATAACATTTCCGTCTCCAACTGTCCTCAGAACCATGGTTCTTAGACGAATACAAGTGCTCCTTAATTCAGGATAAGGCTGACCCTGCGCTCAGGGCAGCACCTACGTGCTGTGATGAGACCTCCGCCTCCCTTTCCAGTCTTGTCTCACGTCTGTTCCTTTCCGTTCTTCACCTTGGCACTCTAGCCTGCAGCAGTGCAGACTGTTTGTCAGCTGTCCTCACTTTCAACATTTCCAGGTGCTGCCTCTCTCCCTATCTCGTTTCAGGGATGTCCTCATATGAAGTTCCCCTCCTCACTGAGGGCTCAGCGCCTCCGCTGGGCCCACCAACCCATGTGGCACTGCAGTCCCAGCACCAGCCACCCTGCCTGCAGATACCTGGTCACAGGCTTCTTCCTTTCTGCCCAGATTCCCCTCTGCATGCACCACTCTCACCCCAGAAAACCACAAGCTTCCCCTGGAGAGGAAGCACTGTCTCTCATCTCTGAAGCATAATGCCTAGTGCCAGGCGGAATGGTGATTGTTACGAATGCAACTGAGAAGCAGAACCCTGGTAAGATTCATAACCATGAGCCACATGTACGACAGCCTACATGTCCACGACAAGAGGAACTGCTTCTCACACATAGAGAATTCCACACTCACCTCCTCCCTCAGGGATGAGAGAGATTGGGGAAATATTCTGAACTATAGACTTATACCATGAACTTATAAACTTCCAGCTCCTCCCCACACCAGCTTTCAGTCAATAAAATATAAAGCATCATCTCTATAAACTCCAAAGAGAAAGGTTCAGTATGGGTGTTTATCAGCCACACAAGTACTTAGACAAAGATTATTAAGCAAAGTGAATTCAAGAATAGTTTGTTAACTGTTCCAAATGTTCTTTGAAACATTCTTTTCAGTAAGTCCTTGATGTAGTCAGAGTATCTTCAAAAGAAGGTGAGTAGCCATAGACTCTTCACCAGCCTGTTCACGTTCTAAGCACCCAGAACAGTGGAAATACGCTGGCATGGTTTAAAAATTCAAATTTTAGTTCCTATTTCTGCCAAAAATTAGCCATGAGCATTTGAGGATATGTAACTCTCCCCAGCCTTAGTTTACTCATTTAGGAATTAGAAAAGAGGGTCTCCAAGTCCCTTCCCAAGTTTGACTTTCCAACTGCTTTGTGAAGGGCCGACAAGCTTACACTGCTCTTCATACTGTCTGTGCACTAGCACACTTTCACCCACCACTATAAGTAATACTATCTTCTTTTTTATTAGTAGAGAAACTGAGGCAGGCAGAGACTAATTAATATCCCCAGCAATGACACACATCTGGCAAGCCAAGTTCCCAGCCCAGACCAACCAGCATAAAACTCTTAATCCTAACAATTACGCTCTGCACCCTATTTTCCTCCACATATTTTGGGGAAAGCACCATTGAGTTATCGTCACACGGGTCTGCCCCTCCCAGCCTCTGCAGAGCTCACGAGGCAAAGGAGAGGGTGTCCCACGGTCCCACTCCAAAGACCCAGCACATCGGCCTGCTGACTCCTGTGCACACTCTGCTTTCTCCAAGCAGAGCCCCCCATCGACCCCCACTCCCGAGCAGGACCACCTGAGACCTGCCGGCAGGAGCCGACAGCCACCACAGCCCAGGGCCTGCGTGAGCACAGCCATTCGGGACCAATCAGGAACTAATGGACAGTGCTTTGCAGCAATGTAATTTCCACAATAAAACTAATGAGCAATTTAATACCAATGTCAGAAGGAATCACTTTCTTGTTGTCTGAATGTCGTCTCCTGTGCAAACATTCCTGGGAACTCAGCACAGCTGCCTTTTTATGGGGCCGTTAACATGTATTCAGGCAGAAGCGGCGAGGCTCCCATGCATTTAGTATTATTAATAAGGTTAACTGGGCACTTAATTAGCAATTTAGTAGTTAGTGCTCCGTGATGAGAAGATCCCCCAGCAGATTATTTAGCAGAATTAATGGGAGGCTTTTGTCACCTTCTCCCTCGACATTGTCTATCCACACCCTCCTAAGAGGAGCTGATTCTTAATCAGTCCCAGACAGACTCACCAAGAGGGCATGGACACAAACGATAAATCCCTCTGGCCAGAGCCAGCGCTGTGGAGCACCCCTGAGGGGGCGGACTGATGCCTCGTCCATGCTGCAGTCACAGCTTCTACAGAGGCAGGTCTCGGCCTGGCTGACCGTTTCCACGTGGACAGTGGCATCTCTGAGTAAGGGCTGCATCTGAGTCACCTCCTCAAACACTGCAGTCCGCACTTACCCTTCCTGTTGCTGGAACGCCGGGGAGATTGCCTGTGGCCCGTTGCTGCTCATCCCAGGAGGCCAGGCAGACCTGCAGCACATGCACAGCCCATTCCTGCTGGCTCTGTGATAAAGACCAGCCCTGCAGAGCCCACCCTCCTAGTTCTTCTCTGTTCAGCCCAGAGTCAGAGTGGAGACACAGAAACTTACTACCCAGGCCCCTGACCTCTAGAGCAACCCTCATCCTGTCTTCCCTATTAATTGAAAAAAAAAAAATTGACTGGAGGTGGGCTCTGCCCAAGTCAGGTTCCATGGTGCACAGTCACTAGTGGGAGGGGTAAGAGAAAACTGAGCCCTCAAGGAGAAGATAATCCCACAGGAGAGGAGAGGGAGCGAATAAGCAAAAAATAGTGCAGCATTCCTGACTCTCTGCCAGATGTGAAACAGGCACTTGCTACTTCTTAGCAATTCCTATCAGCAACCTTATGACACAGGCACTGTGATCCCATTTTGACTGAGGAGACCAAGATCCAGAGACGTGGAGCAATGAGCTCTAAGTCTTACAGCTAGAAAGTAATAGAACCAATATTGAAAGCCAAGGATGCACTGCTATCTCCTTATCACCCAGCGCTAAGCTACCCTCACCCCTGCAGTTCCTGCATGCTCAGGAAATGAAAACTATTTTTAATATTGGCACAAGAAAATATAATTAGAAGGTAAATCAGTCTGGCTGAGAAAAAAATTCCACGGTGCAGTCCAAAGCCCAATATGAGTGATTTGGTGATTATCTGTGCGTCAGGGCCCTGGGCCTTGGCACCATCAACAAAGTCAGCCGTAATTTTAGATACAATGACAACACAGTGACACACTGATAAGCCTGAGAATGAAGAGATGCACTCAAACAGTATTTGCTGAGTCCCTACTATGTGAATAACAGTCTGGTGCTGTGAATAACAGATGCGCCAGTCATAAGAGCAGAGAGAGAAAGACAAATAAACAAGACAAGCTTCTCCGGGCCAACGAGCATATTCTCAGCGAAGGAAATGGGTGTGTCTTTCACAGATCTTTGTGCGGTGCCCTGTAACCAGATCTAGAGTAGCGGAGAAGGAAAACAATTGTACCTGACGCTGGAGATCTACAAAATGCTTTTCAGGTTCTTATATCAGGGAGATAATATGTTTACACATGTGAGTCTGGTATATTTCACTTATGAGTATGGTCTCTAGTTGCATCCATTTACCTATAAAAACCTCAAGTTTATCTGTATAGCTGAGTAATACTCCATTGTATAGTTAGGTGGGTTTTTTTCTCTTTAAAAAAAAAAAAATGCTTTTCAGTAGACAAGATGTTCCAGCAAGCGTAGAAAATGGGTGTGGGAAAGGGAAATAGTCAATGAGGAAAATGTGGATGCCCATTGTATCCTGGGCTAAGGGAAGAGAATCTACAGGTGCCTGGAGAAATAGAAGTACAGGCTGTATGAGGGGTGGGAGGGGGTCATTTAGTGTCCCTGCAGGACACTCTATTGGCAGGAAGAGCAAATGTCAGGACAGCTGAGGGGGAAGCAGAATCAAAAGGTCTTCAATGCCTTTCTAGACAACTGGATCTTATTCAATAAGCAGATCAAGGGATTTTTAATGATGAGCAACAGATGTAGAATGATTAACTCCCCCACCAACACCACACCCAGAAATCCACTGCAGCAGTGCAGGAGAGAAGATAAGGCAGATGCGCCAGCCCTGGAAATAAGCAGAATGTGGTGGAGGCCGAAGACTTCACTGGGTTCCAGCAAAGAGTTGGTGGCTGCATGTGCGAGTCCTAGAAGGAAGGTGTTTAGGGATGCTTTACCCTCTGGCACAAAGACCATAGGTGCTCCTGACCTTGACTAAGACAGACAGGCCAGGAGGAAAGGCAAATTTGGGAGGAAGAGAATGACCCTGGCCTGGGTAGATTTAATTAGTGGAAAATGTTGGCGTCTTGGTGAGAAGAATTCAGCGATCTATATCAGGTGATAAGCAAAGCCATGGAGGAAGTGGGACTCTCCCGAGGACAGGGTTGGAAGGGAGGACAGGGCCCAGCTCTGCTCACCTGTACAGTTCCACCTTCCTCCCTCCTCCCTCTATGCCCAGACCTCACCACTAAGTGGCTCTTCCTTCCCAGTGATCTCTCTTGCCTCTCGGCCCTCCCACAGGAAAGCTGGTCTGCAGAGAGTGAGGAAGAGGAGGAGGAGGAGGCGAAGGTGGGGGTGGAAAGCTACAGACTCCTAATATTTAGACAGTAAGGACAGGAACAGGATGAGCAAAGAAGACTGAGAGAATAGTGACAGGGATGGGAAAGGAGCCAGGAAAGAGCCAGACTCTGCAGAGAAGAATGGAAAATACCACTGGCTTTGGAGAAAACTGAGAGACAGTGACCTGGAAAGACCCTCCTCCTGGGGAGCCCAGGGCAGAGGCAAGACTATGTTGGGTTGGGAAGTAGTGGGTACAGATAGCACTTGCCAGATATTTCCATAACAGATCTCATTAACAGGGGCAAATTTAAAAAACCACAAGGACCACCCAACTCTAAGAACAAATACAGTCTTTTCAATTAGAATCTCTTTCTACCATTTTATTTAGGTGCAGAAGCCCTATTGAATGCATTAGTACCTGCAATGTAGATATTTTCCAAAACATATAACTCCATTGAAGAAATATTATAGCTAATTGTAGTTATAAAATATCATACTGCCCTGTCTAAGTGAAAACTCTGTGGCCAAAAAACTTTTCCACCAAATACCACCTTACAGTTATTTCATATTTTATGTAAAGTAATCATTGCAGCAGGCCAGACTCACCCAATTCTGGCCTCTAAATAAATAGCAAAATACTTCCCTGTAGGTTTCAGATATAACTGAGAACAAAGAGTTTGATCTCGTTCATTGTTTTGTATTTTCCATTTTCCTTTTTTCCCTAACTCATCAAAAGTGTTTAGGCTTTTTTTTTGGTTAGATAAGATCTGACCTAGTAGAACCAAGGCTATTTCATAAATTCCTTTCTCTCTGCAGATACAAAAGTTATTTAAGAAACTTCCAGGATTCAAAGAACTCCATGTGTTAGGATTTAGGTAAGTAAAAGAATCGCTCTTCTCAATTTTTAAATTACTTTCTTCCTATCCTCTTTTAAAAGCAGTGTCATGAGGATTATAAGGTCCCTTTTCCCTCGGTTGTTTAGTTCTGCCAAGTCCTGAAGGCTGAATACATTTCAGATAAAGAAACTGTCTAATTAGAACATGACTGTGGGTGATTTTTAAGGGGAGCTCAGGAGCTGTACTGTTCCTTCTGGAAGTCAGAAATACTGCCCTCCGCAGAGAGCTCATCTGCTGTCCTTGCCAATGTTATTGACCAACCTCTTAGAAAAATACCTCAGTAGAGGGAGACCAAAAAAGTAGCAATTAATTGCACTGGTGTCAGACTGCCTGGTTTTTTATCACAGGCTAAATATCATCACCATTTTAACAAATTACATTACCCAAGAAAGAACCTAATAAAAAGTATAGGGAACTTTTTATTAGGTTCTATAGAGGAACTACTTCTATAGGGGTAGCAGGGTTGAAGGAATGGGGTAGACAAGGGTAGAAGGGCAACTTCTCAAAGTACACCTTTTATATTATTGTAATCTGAACCATAGTGATGTATGATCGTTCCAAATTATTAAATTAAAAGTTTAATAAAAGAAATGAAATCATAAAACCATGCCATGCTAGATCAGTGTTAGACCATGTTCCCATGGCTTTGGCACAAGCAGGTCTACAGCCATTAGCACCTCAATATTGGGTTTGAGCAAGAATTTTTGCATCTTTTTTAAATTCTCATTCCAAACATTTATAGGCAGGTCACAAGATGGGACATCTTGACAGTGTGCTATAGGGTAAGCATGAGCGCTGGTTGGAGCAGGAAGAGATTTTGTGCCAAAAGGGGCATGGGGCTCAGGGAAAGCCAGGCACCCAAGCTCCGCCTGCTCCTGGTGTCTCACAGCAAGGAGATGCCCAGGCCTGTGAAAGAGCTGGAGCAGCGAGAGGGGGCACCGGGTGCCAGCCCCTCTGATCGTTGCAACTCTGCAGGAAGGAAACGCTGCAAAGTGGATGTTATAAAAGTTGAAAGTCTTAATATATAGCAAAGCAAACTCGCTTTCCTTAATTTCAAGATACTGTTCTGCAGTATTCCATGTGAAATCAGATGGATTAGGGGAAAATAAAGGATGATAGGAAAACATGTTGCATAGATGGCAAGGTCTTCCGAATAAACCACCACAGTTGAACAAATTTTTAATTTAAACTTGAAGGAAATGATGGGGCAAGTTCAGGGACAGTCTCAAATGCACATTATCACCCCCTTCGATAAATGAGAAACTAATGTGAAAAATATATTTCAGAAGAAAAAACCAAAATGTTAGTTGATAAAATTTTCTAAGATAAAACTTCTAAAGATGTATCTCTAAAGGAGGGATTTTGCCCTTGTTTTCTTTATAAGGATTTATACTTATTTCTATCAAAGATGCTTACAAAGGAGGTTTCATCACATTTCCCCAATAATTTTCATTATGGCCTGAGAACTTTAGTCCCCTAGGAAATAATTTGGCTTCTGAATGCAACAAATGGTGTGCTTGTGAGCAGGCAAAACATGTGATCATTCATAAGAATGCTCAGCGTATTATAAACTTATTATGAAGGAAATTTCCTTCTTGTGAGACCAGATCTCTGTAGAAGACTGACATTCCTATGACCTCCGGTCTTCTCCTTTGTAAAAAAGAAAAGACGATTTACAATTTCACAAGTGTTTTAATATCAGTGACCTCATTCAATTCTATCAACACAGCTGGAAAGGAGTTAGGACATCTATTACTAAGAATGAGTAGTAAATGGTCCACTTTAAACAGTGCTTATCACTTACAGAAATGTGGGGAACTACTAGCAGCTAATCTAGTTGAAGAGTATATTCTTTCAAGACTTGTGCACAAATGTCCATAGCAACTTCATTTGTAATAGCCAAGAACAGAAAACAATCAAAATATCCCTCAACAGGGCAATGGATGGTTGTAGTGTATTCTTAGTCTAGACTTCTCAACAAAGGAATGAGCTATTGGAATACACAGCATGAGTATCTCTTAAAATAACTATGTTGTATGAAAGAAACCAGATGAAAGTGCATTAGGATTTCATTTATATTAAATTCTAGAAAGTGCAAACTAACCTAGGAATGGAAAAACAGACTAATAGTCACTTTAAAAAGGGTGAGGCAGAGAGGGAAGTTCCTAAAGGATCCCTCAGGGGCAGGGTAAATCTCTGGGAGTGAATAGTCCCTATCTCAACTGTGAAAATGGACTCATGAGTGTATTACCAAACAGTATAGCTTTAATACGTCCAGCTTATTTATGTAATTATACCTTATTCAAGCAAATTTTTTAAATTAGCAAGACTCGAGACTTAGCCCAGGCTCCTGGCCTCTTCTGATCTTCATGGATTACAAATTACTGCTGAAGACAAGCAAGAGTCAGGCCCTGGGGTGACATCTGGTTGGTAGAGCAGAGCAGCTGTAGTTACAGTTATGGACCCTTCCTGGCCTCCACAGACAGAAAGGAGTAGTACGTCTGCAGAGCAAGCATTTCAGTCATGTTACATCAGAGGCTGAACGTCAGACAGATTCAGAAACAAATGCCACTAATCCCATCATGTGGGTAAAGCTTGATCAGCAACTACCACTTGAAATATAAAGAGAGAAAGTTGAACATAGCTTATCAAGTAAACCCACAAATATGTCCAGATGTATCCATCAGTTCAGGGACCAGAGGGCCTTTTCTCAGGAACAAGTAGATTGTGGCATGGCAAAATGAGCTCTGGCTTGAGGGCATGTAGTCCAGGGTTGGAACCCTACATCTGTCATTTTGCGGGAGATAGTGTCTCTCTCTCCATGCCTGCTCTTATGTCTGTGAGACAGAGCTTGCATTCCTGAAATGATCACACTCCTGAAATGACTGCGTGGTGCAGTCCACCCTCTTAGGGAACAGGTTTTTCTTTCAAGCTGTCCCTCATAGTAAATGGGACAGATTCCTCAGTTTACTAATTAAAGCAGTTGAAAAAAATATCAGTCAACAAAACTGATAATTCTAGGGGCTGATTCAGATAAATTGCCTAAAGGAATAAGCCAATCATTAAATGCCATCCCAGAGATGAAAATACAAATACAAAAATGTAAATATATAAATGCCAGAATACTCTTTAAAATCCTCCTGGCTACAGGATCACCGAAAATGTGTAGGATGTAGCTGTATAGGATATTTGCAGCCTTTTTAAAAAGTAATATGATGAAATCAATGAGTTTAGGGAGACCATAAATACATATGAAACTCTGGACTGAGAGTTCAGCCCTAATCCAAAGCATCATGCAATATGTACATCTTGAGATTCATATGGCTCTCAAAATTTCCATCCAAATTCTAATGGTGGTTTATGTTTACTTCAAAACTCTGGGCAAACATAAGAGATGATTCAAGGAGAGGTTTTTTTGTAGATGAAATAATTCAATGGCTGTCTCAAAAAATGTCACAAAAATTCTTTCTCCCTTGCATGCTTCCATTGTGTGTGATGAAATGAAGACCAAAGAAAGAAAAAGATGGGTAATTTGGACTTTTTTTTAATTTTTGGAATACAGTATGTTTTCCTTCACAAATTTATATGCTGAGTTTATACAAATAATTTTTACATTTACTGTCTGGATAAGCCAATAAGTTTTTAATGATTTCTTATTTAATTGGAAGTAATTGGTTAGTTAGTCATGAGGGTAACTCTCCATTCCAAATCACTATGTGAGATAAGCAAATAAACACTGACTTAATCAGCTGAAAAGGATTCTATTAAGCTCAATATCTAATTAGAAAAAAAAAACATGAAGACACATGTCTCTGATCCAAAGCATATTTAACTAATTCTTTTTTTTTTTGTTTTGTTTTGTTTTTTTGGGTTTTTCTCCGGTACCGGGAACCAAACTCACGGCCTTGCACTTGCCAGGCAGGTGCTTTTGCCGCTGAGCTAAGTCCCCAGCCCTAACTAATTCTTAAATGTTGTTTGTAATGGGAGGTTGTCTGTCTGATTACATCACAGTCATGCAACCGATCTAAGTTTACAATAAAACAGAGAAACTGATTTGCTCCTGGTGCCAAGGTCATCAGTCTGAGTTGGGAAAAGGGCCCACTACGCCTTGGCAAGCTGTGTCATGTGAATCAGCGTTGGCTCCTGTGACTGACTAGTGAGATAATTAACTGTAGGCTGACTGATCGTGTGGTCTGAAGAGCGGCCAAGAACACACCTTATCAGTTCCTGTGGCCTTTAAAACACTTCTGCACCCTTCTTTGCAGATTTATGGCAGGAACCAAAAGTAAAACCTGATTCTTTTGAAAACAGAACTGTAGAAAATCTTTTTCATTTCCATATAGGAAATGGCACTGTATCAATAAATATGACAATAAATCCGGTTAATCATGGACTTCCTTCCTTCCTCTTTTCGCACTTCTCCCTTGTTATTTTTTCCTTCTGAATATTTTATTTAGAGAATTTTTTTAATTTAAAAAAATACTTCATGGGAAGAAAAATGGCCCTAAGAACTGAAGCTTTGACTTGTGACAGCATGCATGGCCTATTGTTTCATGCTATATACTCATTGCTTTTTCATAGACCTTAGTAAAGGAGGCTGTTGGTGCAGGAAAGGATAGCATCCTTCTTCCTGATTGGTACTGCATGACTTTTAAGACCTCCAAAAATGTTGGTCAGTTGCATTGGACAATTAACACTTTTCCTAAAAGACATGAATTAAAAATCTGTGGATTCACTTCATAATCTCTCTTCAAGCTAGACTTAACCCCTACATTCAAATTCTATTTCAGAACTAAAATATATGTCAATTCTTTTTCCACACTTCAATTTTCTGGTAAACATTGAAACATTGTGAGAGCCCACGAGAGGCGAGGCGGAGGCCGTCCTGCACACCTGCAGTGATGTAGTGGTTCTCACTAGCAGGCCGCACCAAGGCTTTGGGTGGAACGTGTCTCCCCCTGTCTGCAGGTCCAGCTCCATAGAGATGAGACTCGTGGCCATCTTTACGAGAGATGATGCAGAAGCAAGAAGCCCTGCAGGTGACCTCTTGTCTTTTGATTCCAACAAAATTGAAAGTGAAGTTGTCCACCAAGGAACAATGGAAGAGGACAAGCAAGCAGAAGTTGATCTCACAGCTATAGACTTCAAAAAACTGATCAGAAGAGTTCTGGAGGAAGAACAGTCTTTGGATGTGGGGACAGTTTGGTTCACTGACGGTTGGTGACTGCCTAGTTCCAAGTTTAAACAAATTCTGACAAGAGAGGCTAGGAAATGTGAATGTCTCAGAAACTGTCATTTAATTTAGGCCCTGTAAGGTCAATCATTGCTATGAGAGACACACCAAATATGATACTGTTTCTGTATGTCCTTTCTCCTGCATCTTATTTGATGAGCCTTTGGTGATTACTTTGTACCAAGTGTCCTTCTAGAGGAATCCAAGGTTTTCAATTCACTCCAGGCCAGCCATGGTCAGCCAGAACAGCCTTTGAAGAGTGAGGAGCCCACGGATACTTCCATTCCCCTAGCATAACCTACCCTGAGCCCCTCACGTAGGAAATTAGGTTCTAACAGGAAACAGATGACAGTTCAAATTAGAATGCTTTGAAGACAATTTGATAAAGATGCTATTTATAAAAGTTTGTCTGTACCCAAAAGAAGAGTTCCCTAGGGCTAGAAGCAGAAAGACCTCATTGCTACCTCCAAACTTAAGCATTGCCTAATGACCCAAGCCATCCCTAAGACAAAAAGCAAGGAGCCACTGATACAATCTGTATAAGTCAACCTCCAGAAACAGAATTTAACTGAGGGAGGAAAGGAGAATGGATATAAAGTGATCAATAAGATAAGCAGACATATTCAGGATCGTGGAAGGTACCTGGAGGTACCCAGCAGCCTAGAGGTGCACAGCAGGTTCTGTGAACAGGACAATAGCTGAACACTGGAAATGCCATTTTAGCACAAATCTATTCTTTGCCAGGCCTGTTTTTCTGATTTAGCGATGTAGACGCTTAGCACTGGAAAACTTCATAAAGGTTTTGGGACAAGATGAAGGGGAGAAGAGCTCCAAGGTCAGAGAAGGTGGCCTTTAGCCTTGTCTCAGAGACTGACGGTCTGGGCTTGTCTCTTCCTGGAGTCTTCTAGGGTATTCTGAGAAGTAGACTTGAGGATAGAAGTCAAATTATGCAAATATGCTTTAATTCCCATTCTTAACACTACTACTTTGTTACAGGGAAGTAACTCCTGACTTGTTAGATGTGGCAAATTATGTCTCATGGCTCCAAAGAATGGGCTCGAAGATAAAGGAGGTTAAGAGTAGGAAAAGTTTATTAAGAGAAAGCTCCTGAGAGGCAGGAAACATCTGGAAAGTGGGTTTTTGCTGACACTCTTTGTATAGAGTGTTTATACAGTAAAGTCACATCACAGGTTACCTTCGGTAGAACTGCGATCAACCTGTACGTTAGCAAGTAGGTGCAGTCACTTAACCAATGTTAATCTAACACACAAGGTGCATCACCTGAGGGCACAGCACTGAAAGCAAAGGCATTTCTGGAAGGAGCAGGGGTGAGGCTCAGAGTGTCCTCATCATCCGTCTGCATTAGTTTCTCTGTGTTTATTACAGTGCTTAGGCTTATTGGACTGGATGGTGCTGGTTACAGCCCAGCTTTGAGTGGTCATTCTCTCCAGGTAGGCTTAGCTACTGTGTCTGCATCTTGGTCTTAATTTCTATCAACTTAGCCCTTGACCACAGGCCTGGTTTGCCTCGTCTCTGTTCTGACTCTGCTTGGGCCCAGGCCCTTTCTAACTGCCTGTCAATCTATAGCTAACTTGGCTACCTGCAGTAATTCCTCTCTTCAACAGCTTAATCATATTTTCATCCCAACTGGAGCAGCCAGTTAGTCTCACTGCTTCATCCAAATCTGTGAGAGTTAAATTGAACATCCCAAAAAAATCTACCTTTAATAATGGTTCTTTGTAAATATATGTTTACTATTTTACTATTTTAACTGACACGATAATAATAATTGTAAATGCCCATGAGGTGCAATGTGCTGATTTGATATGTGTCTATGCTATGAGTGATCAAATTAGGGTCCTCAGTGTCTGCATTGCTTCATTCTCACCACCAAACATGCAAGATACAGCCCTTGTGTCTGCCCTTCAATGCATCCTTCAGATTATTGGCCATTCATCTGTATGATACTGATTTCTAATGATCTGTTGCACTATCCCTTAAGCATTGGTTACTGTCATGCATTTTAACCCTGGTTGTTTTATTGATCCAAACACACACACAAAAATAAACACCCAAACCCTGTGATTTTACCCCACAGACATTGTTGGGTCCTCGCCAGTCTCTGGAACAGACATAGGGCTGCATCCGCCCCTGACCAGCTTCACAAAGGTAAAATCAGTTGCGGTCCTGCTGTTCCAGTGGGAGCAAAGGCCCCGAAACTGCCATCAATGCACCAGCTTAAGGGCTGAATAGAGAAAAATCCCCTTTGCAATGTTAATTATCACTCTTCTCTGTTTACAAGCTGTACTTGGTTAACCTACTTCCAATAATGATATTAATACAATATAACTCGACTTGCATTTCAAATATCCCAAAATTCAAAGTTTCCTTGAATTTAGTTAGACCTTCATTATAATTAGAGTCAGATAGTGCTTCCTTTTTTCATAAAAGCAAGTTTTTATGAACTAAAAGAATGAAGCAGAATGTATCATTTAACTTTGACTTTCAGAAATAAACATAAATACAAAAATACCTTATAAATTTACTTTTAAGGTCTTGCTACATAACTATCGATTTATTTATTCATTTGAAATGGGAAATATGAAATAATATCTTAGAAATTAAAAATAATAAATGCAGTGGAGATTTTTGTTTTTAATTTAAAGCTATGTTTACTTAACTTATGTCAGAAGGTGTCATGGAGTTTCCTAAGTGTGAAGTGTTGACTAAACTCTCCTCCCTTGAAATGGAAGAATTCCCAAATCAAAGCACAACTGATACAGTCTGGAGCATTTTAGCTTTTAGGCACATTTGGCTAGCCAAGAAGCAATGTGTCATATGTATCCACACAGGTATCCTTTCATGACATATTTTTAAATCAGAAGTTTCCTCCATGGTAAATTCACTCCAACTCTAAAATGATTTGCTTAAAAATAAATGCAGTTGTTTTAAATATAGATCCATTTTCATGTGGAGAAATGTCCCTTGTCAATTTCTGACTCTCCAAATTCCTTCCATAGGTGTCCACTTTTAGTCCAGCACCTGCTCTTAGTGAACCCACGTTTGGGGCCGTGGGCAGCGAAGGTCCTGGTCTACTGGGTAAGTCTCTTCCCATGCAGTCAATGGTAGATGACATGGTCTCTTTAAGTTGCTCACTTATATCTTATTAGTACGAGTCTGCAGTACGTAACGATTACGTTCACCATGGGGAGTGGGCACATGACCAACGCATCTTAACTCTTTCTGTTCCCCACCTTCTTCCTTCCCTCCACCTCAAGACCCCTTCTGCCTCCCTTTCCCATTTGTAAAAGATCTATCTCCCTTTCTTCAATTGTCTTTTACTTTTCTCTTTAAATTACGTATACTTTGGGTTTCTCCTCTAAGGAAGTTATGCAACAGTTAAGCCTGTGTACTGATCTATTTCACATAACATTATGTTCTCAAGGTGCATCCACATTCCTATATGTGACTCAAGTTTATCCTCTTCATGGCACAGTAGTACTCTAGTGTGCCTGACACATTTTCTCTGTCAGTCCCACTAAACAATGTTCTCCTTGCGGAATCCCACTGCGACTGTCCTCAAAGACAAGTGACAAAGTCACCCTCCTCCCAGGAGAAGGTTGCTCACACCAGCATTTCCAACAGAAGAGCTGTGCATGGATGAGCAGGCCCCCTCTGAGGAGGAGAACACTGCCAGGTCCTTCCCTCAGTCCTCCTGAAGCCCTATATTGAGGACCATGGCCTCTTCCTCACGAGTCTGGTAAAGGAAGTTGAAATCACAACAGCACCACCTGCTGCCCACCCAGAGCAGCCGGGTGTCTGGGACACGGCAGGTTCTAAGACCCAGATCTGTGGCACAGGCTGCGGCCATGGGGACTGGGCCTTTGCCCTCCAATTACAGTCCCTTCCCAAGGAAGGCTGGCTGGTGGTGCCATCTGTCCCACTCCCGTGTTTCATTAGTGTTGTTCCCTCTTTGGCCATTGACAGGAAAGGCAGTAAACACCGAGGTCCCCCGACCCACCTTTGAGTTTCCAAACAAGCTATACTTTGGGGCAATAGGATCAAACCCTCTCAGTCAAAAAGGCATCTTCAGTGAGGCATAAACATCATGCAGGAGAGGGAGGCGGCTAAAATTCCCGTGGAAGAGACTTTTCAATACAAGAAGTAGCTGATTTCGTGGCTCCAAGAGCCAACTCTCCTTATAACTTTTTGAAGGCCTCCAGTGGAACTACAAGTAACAATATCTTTTAGGAAATCCAAGTTCCAGGACACAGGCTGGCAGGATCACACGTGATTCTAAGCGCAAGTGCCACTTCCCTGTGGCTGATAATTCACTGAAGCTGATCATTTTAGTAGAACTATTACTGTTTGCATTAGGGCACACTACAAAATTCTGCCTCAACTCTATTCTCCTTTGAACACTGTATGCAATTTTATAGAATACAAGGGTTTTCAGGGGTATATATATGTCATGACAGCAAACCCAGCTACACAAGTTGAATTTGACTTCTATGATTGCCGTAGAATAAACGTTAAAGACACAGCTATCTGTCATGCATTATATACTATTCTTACAGTTAATACCTACAAATGGTCACTGATATGTTTCCTAAAAATTGGACAGTTCTTCTGTGTGTGCTGCTGTATTTCTCAGCTGGTGCTGAAGATCCAATTTTCCACATGCTTCACCTCCCTGACACCGATGTGCGCTCAGCCAGGATTCCTGGCAAGAGCCTCAGTTCTTCCTCCTGCGGACCTCTGCACAGGGCTACTCGGGCTCCCACACTGCGTGACAGCTAAGCTGAAGGGATTATTATCCGAGTCACTGAACCAAAGCCATCATTCACATTGTCTCCACTTACTCATCACATATGATTTAATTGCCTCAACCTTTTTAAAAATACCCTTAAGGGGGCTGGGGATTTAGCTCAGCGGCAAAAGCACCTGCCTGGCATGCGCAAGGTCGTGAGTTCGGTTCCCGGTACCGGAGAAAAACCAAAAAAAAAAAAAAAATACCCTTAAGGCCTGGCTTGGTGGAGCACGCCTGTAATCTCAGCAGTGAAGAGGCTGAGGCGGGAGGATCAATGCAAGTTCCAGGCCATCCTGAGCTGGGTGGAGAAACCCTGTCTCACAAATACACACAAAAATTTTAATTAAGAAAGCAAAGATAAAAATACCCTGAAATCACAGCCACTTCTCTGTTTCACTATTCTATTTTTAAGAATAGTCTAGGATTCCCACCTTTGCCTATAACCACATGTTATAGCCCTGACGTTCCCAAAAGTCACCAGTGACTTCCTAGCTGATCAGCTGGTGGCATCATTCCCATCTCCACTTTATTTGACATTTTTGGCCTTTCCCTTCTTGAGAGTCTTTCTTCATTTAGCTTCCACATGGTGACCCCCTGGCTGTTATGCTCCCTGACTACTGCTTCTCAAGCTCCTGCACTGTTGGGTTCCTTGTAGATTTGGGGGGGGGTATGTTTATTACCATCCTACCTCATTTTTTAAAAGATTTGTAGTGCTTTACTGAAATTCATGCAGTACAATATGGTTTATTGCAAAGAAGCAAAAGAAAAAAGACAGTGGTGGAAGCACAACACTGTGACTGAACTAAAGGACTCCGAATAGCTCACTTTGAAATGATTGATTTTAGGGTTGGGTATGTAGCTCTGTGGTAGGGCGCTTGCCTAGTATGCATGAAGGTCGCAGGGTTTGAACCTCAACGCTGCCCAAAAAGTAATAAATAAAATAAATATCTCATTTTATGTAGTGTTAGTTTCACCTCAATAAGTTTTTTTTAAGGAATTAGGTTTCTTCGGGGAAATTGTGTCTCAAATTACTGTCAAAAAGTTCTACAAGTTTGCTTTGTGTCATTCACAAACGTGGCTCTGAGCTTCCGAGCCGGCTGTGCAGGAAGGGAAACCCAGTCACAAAAGCTCGGTCTGCAGGCTCCGGGCCTGGAAAGCGCTCCGAGAAGGGACTCTGTGGGCCATTCCCATCGGGAGCGCGGGCTGGCGCCCGAGGAGCTGCTTCCGGCAGTACCGGTCTCCCCACAGCGGTGGAATGGAGGGGTCTGGTGCTTCCTCAGAGTCTCTCACTGCAGATGTGGCAAAGCCTACGGCAGCTTCCCAGGGGGCTAGTTTTGACAATGTGCCTCGTTCACTGATTGATTTAAGAGTAATAAGAGGGAATGGTTTTGCTGTATAACCTGCAGTAAACACTGTATTAGTAAAAATTATATCTTTCACTGAGCTTTTTATTAGTATTGAGAAGAGTTACGTTTGGTGACATAGACCTGGAGGGCAAATAGACTATGTTGCCAATTAAGGGCAGATCCATATGCTTTCATAATCAGCCCAGCCAGCTGGGAATAGAAATGACGTATCTAACCAGGTCTCCATCCCTATCCAGAAAAATTCCTAATGAAAAAGACATCCCATTCATCTGTAGAAATGAGCAGACAGAACAGCACTCTGGACAAGAACAAGGCTTCTGTCTCTCATAAAATAGTTCTAGGTCTCTCCAGGCATGGATAGAATGAGAAGTAGGGCTTCAAAGAGCTGCACCATGGTATTACTAAGATAATTTTAGTCTGGAAAATTTTTTTAAAGTTGGTGTCACCAGACGCCCACTAAACCATTAAAATTTCAGGAAAGCACTCATAGAAATCTTTTAGCTTAAGCAGTTTAATTTAGTAGTTAATTCTCTAAGATACAGCACTTGCAAAATATGCCTCTGGAACACAAAGTGAATTGGCATGGTGTGTAGAACTGTAAGCTCTTCTGCTACTAGTATTTTTAGAACAATTGATCCCAAGTCATTCTTTCTTGCATAACCTGTTATCTGTTAAGATCACTCCTATTTTACAAAAAGCAGAGTTATAAACCTATAGAAGAAATTCAACCTTCTGTACCCCACACAAGCTTCCATCTCATTCAAAATTGTATCATATCTTTAGGGTAGGAATTATTGTGGCCTGGTTTAGCTGTGTAGGGGCCCAGTACATTTCTGTTTCCTCTCATTAGAATGATCATCTGATGTATCCAGAGAAGGTCTTTGGTGTATTCTTGTCCAAATTACAGATTTCAATTACAAGTTACTCCATGTAAAATGTAATCTAGGACTTTTAATACCTTGCACTATTTTAAGTGAAGAAGCATACTTTAGGCAGAGATATTCTATCCTGGACATTATCTTGTATTTTATTTCTTACCTAGGTAACATGTTAACATCAGCACATATTTCCAACTTTTCTGAATCTCATCTCAGTCTTTGACTTTCTTAAAAACAATCAGTAAGGGGCTGGGGATTTAGCTCAGCGGCAAAGCGCCTGCCTGGCAAGCACAAGGTCGTGAGTTCGGTTCCTGATACCAGAGAAAAACCAAAAGAAAAAAAAAAGAATCAGTAAGATGAGCTAAGTCAAAAGACTCAATACAGAACCTATCTGCTGATGGTGCTCGAGGCCAAGGGCCACGGTCTCTTTCTGTTGCTTGCTGTATCCACAGAGGCCAGGCTGATGCGTGACGTGAACTAGACGGGAAATTGATATATGCTAAATGAATGAGTGCATATCTTATTGCCTCCATGAAAGTCAGAACTGAGGCAAATAATCTATTTTCCTTTTTAGTCTGTACACGAATGAGCTCAGAGCCAGATCAATGGCCCACAAACCATGTCCTGCTGTCAGGCCTAGTCCCACTCTCCACTGCCAAAATGTGTCAGTCACTGCCATACTTTTGCCCCCTTGTGCAGGTAGCTTCTCTCCTGCCCCCAAAACCAAACCTGATGACCTCTAGCTCACACTGTCTGTGTCAAGCAGCTGGACTCCTCCTCTGCTCCCAGGAAAGGTTCATAAATGCCATCTGAACCTCGTTCTACCACAGAAAGTTACATCTACCTCTATCAAGCATTTACCACTCAGTATGAAATCGCTGCTGTGTGTGCCTGGGATCTCTCCCAGAATGAATTCCTGGAGCAAAAGGATATGCTCTTGTTCCCTTTTTGAAACTCCTGTGTCAAGCACAGGGTCTGCCATGAGGCTGTGGCTCCCTGCCTCTGTCACGGCACTCATGCTGGGCCTCCCAGGGCTCTCAGACAGTAAACCCTCCCCGTGTGAGCTGCATGAGGAGGGCCGAGTCCCTTACTGAAACACTCTTGTCAAAATGAGAATCCTGAAGAACTTTCATCAGCTTGCCTCACATGTTAGAAATTCATCAGCTTGCCTCACATGTTAGAAATTCTACCACCCTGATTAATGTAAATGTAGGCACAAAGTGAAACAAGTCTGCAATAAGCCACTCTCTTAGCCAAAAAATTTACATGTCCTAACTTTCAATCAGGAAGGCCTAACAAAGATGTCGTTTAAATTGCTCCACTTTAAAAATAAAAGGATAATAATAAGACTTAAAAAGATTTATAAGAAAAACTCAGTTAGCCTTTAGCCCTTATGGTCAATATTTTTCCTCTTTCTTCCTTACCAGAGAGGAAGATTTTCCAAGCATGAGTGTACTCTAAAATAATTTCTGAGGGCAAAAAAATAATAATAATAAGTCTGGGGGCTGGAAATGTAGTTCATTGTTACAGCATATGCACAGGGCCCTGGGTTTGATTCTGAGCACAAAAAAATTTTAAAAAATAAAAAGTTCTGAGAGGTCTGTATGGGAAATGTTATCCAAAGAAACCATAGCCATTCAGCAAAGATCTCTAACTACATACTATGCCCAGATAAAATCTTTATGTTGTTTAGAGAAAATGAAAAGTAAATTGAAATTCTTCCAACGCTTAAAATTTAGTACTTCTAGATTTAACATAGATACTGAGTAAAATGGTGCTATCCTTCCAGATTTCAATTTGGGAAGATTCAGGACTTACTATTAATCTTGGCGTTTCACAAAAATATCTTGTTCTGATTTTCTGCCCATCTCTCTGGCTGAATCTTTCTTTCTCTCCCCACCCCTTTCGGGAGGCTGACAGTCTGGATTTCAATGACTCTCCTTCATACTGTTCATAGCAGATATTTCCATGTATGGATGAACTTTACTGAGGTAATAAGGAAAGCGAGAAGCCACGTTGTAGCTCCACCCAGCAAGCAGCCTCGAGTTAAGCAACTGTCTCTTTCGCCTCCTCTAGAGGCCCCACTGGCCGCCGCTGCCTCTGTGGACCGTAGGTCATGGCGTGCTGCACCCAAGCTCTAGTCAACACTTCCAGGCTGTGCCCAACCCCCTCCTCAAGTTATGGCCCAACTGTTATGCAAAGCAGCACTCTGTTAACCTCTTCCAATATTCCAATTGCTGAATATTGACCACACATTTCTAAGATGAATTCTTCCACTTCTGTGGGCACAAAGCAGCCAGCAGCAGTCTAGTTAGAAATGATGAATTTCTATTCCTTGTGTACTGACACTCCCGGTGAACACTTTCACATGCATAGTCAGGAGAGACCACACACTGTGTCCTGGGCAGTTCGGCTCACCGGGACGCTGTTTCTGTATTATTCAGCTTTCCGTTGCTGGGCACAATACCCAACACCCACAGCTTACAGGAGGAGAGGTTTACTTGGCCCACAGCTTCAGGGCATGGTCAACAAGCTCCAAGACAGGAACCTATGGGGGAAGGGCAAGGTAAAGCAAAGATACCTATTCATGGTGGCAGGAAGCAGAGCCGGGGAGAGACGAAGGCACCAGGGAGGAAGGGACCCATGACAGGACATACCCTTCCACAGACACCTCCATGACCGACCCAGACACACTCAGAAAGTGTGCCCCAACAGTGTCCTAGGCAGCACCAGTGAAGCTGACCCTCCACCCTACCACCAGGGCCCGTGTGGATTCCAGGATCTCCGCAGGCCTCGGGTGGGGAATCCTCCTCCTGCGCCGAGAGGCTACCGAGGGAGTAAGAGGACAGTGAACTTCCTTCATGAGCTCCATCTCTCGGGGGCGCTGCGCTCATGAGCAGTTTTCTCATACAATTATTTGTGTTGCGTTTATTAGGACAGAGGATAAAACAAGGAGGGAAGCGGGCATAGTCCTTGCCTCCTATAGCTTGTGCTCCCCCAAAACAACACTTGAGATGAGAATTCAGTTGCAAGACATTTGTTTCAGAGGCAACCTCAGGAAACCCAGGAAGAGGAAGTAAGCAGAAAAGAAAAGTAAATCAAGTGACCAGTTACCTCTGTGACCCCAGAGCTCATTGGCAGTGTGCTGCTAAATGTTCAATGGCCAATCAGGAGAAGGGGCAAGGGGAGGAAGGAAAAGGGAGGAAGAGGAGGAAAAAGGAGAGCGAGAGACAGAGGAAAAGGAGGAGAGGAAGAGAAGGAGAAAGGAGAAAGAAAAGACAAGAAGAGAAGAGGAAAAAGAAGGAAAAGAGTGAAATATACATGCACAGAGTTTATTATAAAAATTTTTCTGAGACAATGTAGAAATTTACAAAAAATAAAATATATGACATTCTGTATGGTCAGTTTTGTACCCCTAGTTGGTTCTCCTCAGGAAGCAGTGTTTAAACTGCAGTCTGGACGACAGGAAGGCAGAAGTAGAAGCTGTGCGGAACGGTGCTTTGGGCAGGAGGGCAGCAGGGCTGGCGGCACTGCAGCGTGCTGAGGGAGGTGAAGGAAGCAGAGTGGTGAGAGGATTTAGAAGACCACGAAGCCTAGAAATGAGCAGCTTTAATGTGCCCTGGTGGGAAGCAGGGCAAGGGTGCAGGAAAGAGATGACCCTGCACATGGGACTTAAATAACTTCTCCTGGCCTCACTGTGGAGAACTGTCTGGAGATGGCAAATGCAAAGGCCCAAGAGAGAGGTCTTCACTGTTATTTAGACACGAGATGTTGGAAGACAAGATCTGACTGGTCAAACAGACTGGGTTGATTGATGTGAGTGTTATTTACAAGATTTTAAAAAAAGAACAGGATAGAGAATCCAAGGCCGGGATTCTGCGTGCTGCGCTGGCCTGAGGGATGCAGCACACCTGTCCCAGGCGCGGGGTGGGAAAGGGCAGCCTGTGTCCCCGTCTCCTCCAGGCCAGGGCGCTGGTCTGGGCCAGGGGTAGTGGGTGTCTCTTCCCTCTTCACAGTCATGTGACTCGTGAGCATACCATGGGAGACGCCAGCCTGTCCTGGTCCTCAGATTCTTGGACAGGATGTGAGGGCGATCTGGCTGCGACATCTGTCACCCCACTGATCGCCTGGGTTGATTCGGCTGATCTGGCTGGCCAGGCAGGTGTCCCCTTCCTCCCTCCATGCTCCATGTGCATCCCTCCCCAAGCTGCGTGCTCGGTCAAAGAGGACAACCGCCCCCAATAGAGAAGGACCGTCCCTCTGTCAAGGGCATATGAGTAGCTGCGCTCCCCTGCTAGCACCTCCAAACAAGCTGTCAAGGTCAGATTCTTGGACAGCATTGCTTCAATCATCCATCCAATTGTGTCAGTTCACATAAAGAGAAAGAAGCTGTGTATCCATTATAAGTGCTGCCTTTCATTAATCTTGCTACTAGTTGACAGAGAAGAGAAAACAAGAGGTCACTAAATTCAAAGACTCAATCATCCTTAGGACTCTATCACCAAGATCACTTTCAATCTTCAGAGCTCATGGGCTGTTTTATCTTCCTACATGTACCGGTTTAGTGATACTGTTCAGCAGTCCAGTGGTCTGGTTTGGTTTCTTTTTCATTCCATCTCAGTTTGGGTGTCCGTCATATTTTTTACTTTTGCTTTAGCATCTCCAGCCTGCGTCTTCTCACTTAGCCCTGCAGGTGTTAGCTGTGTTTGTAATCTACCGACCTGAACTGACCCGGGCCAGTAGCTCAGCTGGGCGGGCCGTGCAGTGTGTGCCAACAGGCGGAGCGCTGCGGGCCCTCGGATGACCCGGCAGCCAGCCACTGTCCTTCCCTGCACCTTCAGGGCACTGAGACCACTCGAATAAACCTGTCAGGATTAGTCCCTGTGTCACCCTCAGTGCTAAACAGCTCAGGTGACCAAGAGAACAGCTCTGTGTGAAGAAACCCTTAAATGCATGTGAAATTAAGCCACTATTTTAACAGGAATTTGGCCATGTTACTCAGTAATTACAGGTCAACAATTGAAAAAGTTTTCAGGAAAGAAAATGTACTACAAGACTTAAGTAAAACCACTTAAGAAAACAAACACTGCGTGGAAAAAATATTGAAGGGAATATATCACTGTGGATATGGGCTGTTTGTGTCCCCCAAAATTCATCCTAAATCTCCCACACGACGGCCTTTTGTAGGGAGGGGTGTTCGGAGGAGATTAGATGATGAGAGGTGGAAAAAACACTCTCCCGGTCCTCTCTTCCTCACTCTCTGAGTACGACTATCTGCAAATGGGGGCGGGTATCCTTACCAGACCTCAGATTGCCCGGGGCAGTACTCACCAGGCTCCGGAGGTATGAAAAATGCATTTCTGCTGTTTGAGCCGGGTGGTCTGTAGTGTGCCGTGAGGGTAGCTTATCAAGGGTGGACTCCCGTGGCCAGATAATAATACATGTTACATGTGTCTGTGATGTTTCCAAGGCCTTGGTTTGGGGGCCAATTAAAATTTCATGTTGGAGAACTCTTCATTACAATGATGCTGGAACTTCGGCGCACCTGCTTAGCAGTCTAGAGATCCAGCTCCCACTGGACCTGTACGTGCTTTCCCCCTGATTCCCTCATTCAGGACCTACACACAGGACATAGTGAACGATGAAGAGCCTGTGTACAAAAAGTGATGGCAGCCTAGGGAAGCTCATGTGGACTACCCATATGTCAGAAAAGAGGAAAGTCAAGGAAGAGCAGAGGTGTCAAAGAGGACATCACTGAGCTTGCAGTGGGCCCACAGGGGAGGGACGGGCTGAAGAGAAGGGAGAGGACCCTCCAAGGGAACAAGCTTCATGAGCAAACAGGCAAAGAGAGAGTGAGTTTTGGGAAAGATTGCAGAGAGCAAGAGGATGCATAGATGGATAGATGGACATCAAGCAGTTCTTGAAAAGTCAGGAAAAGGAGCTTGGTTTTTCAGAAAATAAAGGGGCTGATGAACATGAGTGTTGGTGTCTTGGTTACATTTTTCTCTCTGCTGGGACAAAATACCTGACGCCCAAAATTAAGGAAGGAAAGGTTTATTGCACTTACAGTTTGTGGAGGTTTCAATCCGTCCTAGGCATGATTATAAGGCAGAGTGGCACGTGGCAGAGGGCTGCATCTCAGGGCGGCAGCACAGCAAAGCTGCCACCACACACACTACGGCAGAATCCGGGAGGAATGGCCTCAAGCAGCTTCCTCCTCTCCCTTACATGTGCAAACTATCCACCCCAGGGCAGGTGTAGCTCTCACACCCATATTCAAATGCTAATAGCCTGCCCCAGGGCCGCAGGAGGCTTTGGGGGTACACACAGATATAAACCATAACAGTTGGGAAAGTTAGATATAAACCATAACAGTTGGGAAAAAGCGGACCATGGGAGATCATGTTCTGTCTTTGGTGTGAAGTTTTGGAGGCATGAGGGAGGGTGGAAGAAGTGAGGAAAGAAAAGATACAAGACAAATTACTTTTTAAAATGAAATAACCCAGGGGCTGCTTTGGATAGTATTGAACAGAGGATAAGGGTGGGTCAAAGGGGCAAATTGCCTCGAAGTTGAACACCCCGTGGTCACCTATGCTGTACCCAAGACAACAAGTTCCTCGCCACCTTGGAGTTGAAAACCTGATGGGACACAATGAACAACATCTTCTTTCTCTAAGAGAGATACAGACTTATTTTAAAGACTTGGCTCAAGTGATTGAGAGAAGTGGCAAATCCAAAACCTGCAGGACGCTTGGCAGGCTGAAGACACAAGGGTGCACTGCGGTTCAAGTTTAAGGGTCCTCTCCTGGCAGTGCCCGCTTCCTCCAGGGAGATTGGCTTCTCTCTGTTGACCCCTTAGCCTCATCAGGTGAGGCTCATCCACATTACAGAAGGTGAGTGGCCTTGCTCGAAGCCCACTGGCTTGAGTGTTAGTCTCATCTTAAAATTACTTTCACAGAAACATCTAGAGTAATTCCTTTCCAAATACCTGGTCACTGTGGCCTAGCCAAGATGACACATAAAATTAATCATCTACGTCTTGAATGAGCTCAACAGAGAAACACAGGCTACTTCATATACTCAGTCCGCATAAAAGGTGGAAAGCCAGGACTAGAACAGGCAGTCAACAATTCAACAGTTCATCTAGTTCAAAACGAAAGTGGATTTGGTTGGCAGCAGGCCCTTAGTCATAACAAATGGTGTGTTTGCCCTGGTCCTGAAAGGTAGTCAGTATCTGTGGACTTGGAAGGAGCCCATAGCAGAATAGAGGGCAGGAAATGTGCACTCCACAGTGGAATGAGAATAGAGAATTGGCCGGAGGAAAGCCATAGACAGGCCCAGGGGTAGCACAGGGTGGGGGGGTCAAGTGACATCTAACCCTGCCCACCGGCCTCCATCCCCCGCGCAGCACATCTCCAGGGACTGTAACGCAATGTGATCATAGCTACAAAGATTCTGCCTTGTGTCTGCTTATCTGGAGCCACGTGAACTGACATGAGAGTTAGGGTGGGCACCCAGTGTTTCTGCCCTCGTCACCCATTTTTAGAGAGTGGGAGGTTCCGATGGTGCAAATAGTTTGAGGCCAAAAAGTAAAATGAGGCTCTGTGAGAACATCAGGACTGCCTCCTTGTGCCCTGTGGAGAACTGCATTTATACAGGTGTACGGTATGAGAGCGTTTTAATCAAAGAAACAGCTCCCACATTGAGAAGTAACACGTTAGCAGTCCTAAGGTAGAAATAACAACAGGGTTTACAAACGGATTGAGAGACATCGACAGGAACTCATAAATAGTTTACTCTCTTTTCAAAGTTTTAACATGGTGGCACAGCATTTCTAACAGTGTCAGTAGGCTGTAAGCTGAATGCAATGGTCAGTTTACCAGTCAGGAGTCTACACGGACGACCACAGTACCTTCTGAGGTAGTAACTCCTCACAGCATCCACTGACTAGAGCCATCAAGGTCAGGAAACAAGACCTGTGCTCTAAATAGATCATGTTAGACTCCGAGAGAGGCCGCCATGCTTGGACCACTGAGTAAGCCAAAAATAAACACATCACAGGATTTGCAGTTTCTTCTACTTTACTTTTTCTTGCTTGGCAATGAATGAGAGAAAATAACAGCTCACCATGACTAGTTGGCAGGTTCTCTGTATTGTCAGGTTAAGCAAAATCCTTGCCAAAGCATGTGGATTAGCTTTATGCTATTTGGAATGTTAAAGCAAGTACTAATCCGCAAGATTTTAATAAAGACTTACTAAATATCAAACCAAAGCCGACATTTCCAGAACTTGGCAAACTCTCTCTTGCCCAGTGCACTGATGAAAACTTGGAGAAGAGATAAATGAGTGCATGCATTTTTATTTATAAGTTTGTTTTGAATAAGCAAATATTTATATTTATGTTTCTTTCAGTTTTTTGATAAAAAAATTCACATATTTAAAGTATACACCATGATTTTTTAATACAGTAAACTGATTACTCTTGGGTGCTAATTCACATCTCATCTCTTTACAGAGCTACCTTTTGTGTATGTGCGGTAGGAACACAAGATCTGCATATATTAGGAGTTTAAGAAAATTTATCTCTTTGGATTCTCAAACCAATCTTCATTCTACAAGATGGCAATTTTTCATTGATTTGGGGTTTTACATGAAAGCTTGCAATATTTTAGACAGGTTGTTTGTGACATTCTTGAATAGTGGTTCAGTAAATTTCTTCACTTTGGAAAGACAGAGCATCTCAGGAGTACTCAGCAAAATATGTGTATCTCCTCATAAGCACCCTATGGGTGTTGCCTTAGTTACTCTTCATGCTGAGATGAAATATGTGACACTCAAAGTTAAAGGAGGAAAGGTTTATTTAGCTCACACTTTGTAGAGGTTTCAGCCCGTAATCACCTGGCTCAAAGGCAGGGTGGCGGAGCCAAGGGACATCACACAGGAGAAACAGGTCTTGGCAGGAGGAAGGCAGCAAATTAGCAAGCAGCGAACGGTAACTTTCTACCCAAGCTATGCACCGTTATGACAGGCAGCACTCACAGCCAAGGTAGACCTTCCCGTTACCACACCCAGAACTACGCCAAACCAGTCCGTGGACTAAATTAGTGACCGCACGCCCTTGATCCCAACATCACACTTAATCCCAGCGTCACACTGTCTAGGTACGGGCACCTCTGGAAAGCTCCACCTTTTACCGCATGCGGCTTTGGGGGACTCCTAGACACAGGCCAAGACAGGTGTTAAATTTCATGTGAGCTACTTGTACATGATGCTTTAATGTATTTAACAAGCCCTGCAACAAATGTTGTAGCTGGGGGAACTGGGCAGTGGAGAGGGGGAGGAAGGCCAGAGGAAGGGGAGGAAGGCATGATAAAACTGCAATGTGGGAAATATTTCTTAGAGTCCTAGCATACAGAGGGCAGCAGAGGAGAGGTGGGGCAGGACCTTGGAAGCAGAGCCAGAGTGAGGGGCACCGAGCACAATCTCCAAAGTGAATGGAAAGGTCAAGGCTGGACCCCAAGGCCTCCTCCTCCTAAGCAGGGTTGGGCTGCACGTGGGTGATGCCCCAGGAGAATCAACACAAAGGATCACACGCCCTCAGGACCTGGGTGTGAAGGAGTATCTACCACCTCTGGGAAAGGAGAGAAGCAGAATGAATTTAAGGACGGAGTCTTGTCTGGCTTCCAGCTAGGAGAGAACCAAGCTGCTCCTGCACTGTGCACCTGGGACTCGCTGGCTCTCCTACGGGCTGTCCTCGTTATTCCTGCCTGGCTCGAAGGTGCTCAATGTCTCCATGGCTTCCCATGGAAAAAAGAATGAGAACATTCAAGTCAAAAGACCGCAGTGTTGGACTGAAGTCCAAAGACCCTCGCCGGTCTTCCCGGGCCTGGCAGAGGAAGAATGGTGGGCCCTTGCTGAGGGCTTGGCTAGTTCCATGCTGGGTGAGTCTGTTCCCAGTGAGATTTCTGCTGCAGTTGGCAAACAGGAGCTTTAGAGTCAAAGAAAAGCAGGAAACCAGCCCTGCAATCCCTAGGCCTTCACTGCCAGGCTGTTATGGGAAATAGCCCCTACTGTCTGGGATGGCTCCTTTGCGAACACCCTAAATTGCTGTCTAGAAATAACAGGGAAAATGATTTTGAGGAAACTTTCCTGATCAAAAAATACAGTGAATGCTGAACTTTTTTTTTCTTTTTTTTTTCTTTTTTAATGTGTTATAATAATCTCCCCCAAAATCCTCCCCTTCTTCAAGCACACTCAGTCCATCATTCTTGCCACTTTCTGAAGCACTTCTGAAAGTCCTCTTACCTACGTGTCTTTCATTGCATTATCATGGCTGCCTTGGTGTCCTGAAACAGTTTAAACTGTTAAAGTTTCATGGTCTTTTCAGGAAAGAGCCGGAAGTCACACAGTGCCAGATCCAGTAAACTAGGTGAATGAGGATGTTATTTGACAGAAGTTGCCATAAATGTTTTAAGTCAGTTCAGGACATCAAAGCAACCATGAAGAGATCCTCACAAAAGAGGAATTCCAGAACTGCTTCAGAAAGCGGCAAGAGTATCGAGGTGAAGGAAAGTCTTCTGAGAAGAATCGGTGGTGATTTGTCTTTTACTACAACACATTTTTGTAAATTTTTATTTAAACATTCACTGTATTTTTATCACACCTCATATATGTCAGTAGTCTCATTTCTGGAACAACTTGAACCATTGCTTTATTATATATGAAAAGTATGAAACCCTCTTGCTTCATTAGAATCATCCAAAGTTTTGTCGGTTTGCTTAATTTTTTAAGTTTGCAATTTTCACACACAAAATACTGTATTTTTCATTCCACTTCTTTTTCCATTCATGTCTGATGTTTTCTGCTTCCTCCTGTGTAGCACATGCAGGGCAGCAACCTCTTTGACCTCTTATGCGTTTTGACATCTTTTGCAGTGGTGCTCCCGGCCCTCAGTGTTGGTAATGCCTCTTCTTCACCAGGATATGTGATATTACAGGCTCTTCTCCGCCTCTCTGGGGTCATTTTCCTAACTTTGAATTTTCTCTGCAAGCTCATGAGGTATCTCATACAATATCTTTACAGGGGTTCCCATCTAATTCTGGGTCTTCAGAGACTTCCTCACCTGGACCCTGAATTTGATGGACCATGGTTTTCCCTGTAATAATAATAATCTTGAAGACTTTTGTCCACTGGGATTTTCTTCAACTCCTAAGAATCTTCCGATCGTGAGTCTCTTTAGGGGACTGCTGACCCTTTTTCCTGCTTCTCCTCTTACCCTGCTCTCAACACCCTCTCATGAATTTGTAACAGGAGCCCCCACGTCGGTGGAGATGAAGGTGTTGGGGGCAGGACACCGGCCTGGGTGTGGAGGTCGAGTGGCAGCCAGAATCTCAGTGGTTAAGATAATGCTAAACTGCAATATTTCAAATAATGGAAATCAGTACGAATAATTCATGAGGAAAAAAATCGCCGATGTTTAAGTAAAGACAGACCCTGGTTCAGGCACTGCACACCCCCACAGGCCTGTGCACCCAGAGCAGCCATCCCAGCTGCCTCGGCTGCAGCCTGCAAGGCCCTTCCTGTGGGGTTGTACCGGATGACACAAGTGCAAACAGATTGGGCAGCATGGGGCTTCAAAAGCATTCGCTTTTTTTTACTTTGGAGCTTGCATTAACTTTCCTGTGGGCTCAGAACACAGGCGGGTATTTTAATGTGTTCTCAGCAGCACACATTCCCGTCTTGCCTCAGGATCCGGGGATGGCTCGGCACAGGGGGAGCTAAGTCACCTCCCCAAACCCGCTTTCTCCCATCAGAGCCTGGTGCTAGCGGGTTGAGCTGGCCCAGATGTTACAGACGGACAGGGATATTTATGGGGATAACAAAAGCATTTGCCATGAGCCGCGAAAGTATTTAGATGAAAACATATCCATTTTTTCATGTATACACTGAAATACAATCGCTTTTCAGTGCAGTTCTTAAACCACTTTCTTTCTCTCTTCCCTAGTGACTCATCAGACTAAGGTTGCAGTCTGATTTGATCACACCCGTAGAACATCAGAAGCCTTGGTCCCTCCAGGTTAGCAGGGGACTCTGCCTCCTCACAGTGCTAGCTTTGTGCCCTAGCTCCTTGTCTCCACGTCTGCCACATCCTCCTGGGCCTGGGCCAGCATTCTGTAGTCCTTTCTGGTGGGTTAAGTTCTTCCTCAGTTAATCCACATCCACCAGAATCTAACCAGAGAAACTGTAAGCACCAAGCTGGCATTTTCCAGGTGAAAATCAGTCACACATCCACAGCTTTAAACTGCCATCCACAAGAAAGGGAACTCACATGAGGAAGGAATGTAATGCTCAGGTGGAGGCATGAAGAAACCCAGACAGGAGGGGAAGCCTCCAGAGATCAAAAAGAGCAGGACACCTCTGCCTCCCATGGGCTAGAGAGTCAACAGCAAGAAGGGGTGTCACCAGTGTCCAGGAACCAGGGGACCCACAGGAAGCCAAGAGCCCAGGACCCTCCCAAAGAGCCAAGAGCCCAGGAAGCCAAGAGCCCAGGACCCTCCCAACAGCCTCAGCCATAGACAAGTGACCACTGGACACACAAAGGGGCAAGGTGAGATAACCAAGGTCTCATACCGGCCAATCCCAGCTGGAAACCAGATTGTACAGAATCCTTTGAAAGATGATCAACAGGATCTGTTTCCCATCCCTCCACCCAAAACAGACAGAGCAAGGGAAGGGCAAGAATGCAGGAGGGAACCCAGAACCAGAACCAGAACCAGAACCAGATCAGCCCTGGCTCCATCACCAAGTAGCACCGTGGCCCTTCCAGTAACTTCACTGCACACTGGCTGAGAACACCTATAATTTCAGACCTCATTTCCAAGGTGGTAGCAGTCAAAACAGAAGGTCCTTATACTTCAAAATGGTCCCCTTATTATTTGAACTTAATGAAAAGTAAGAGAATTTCTCTCTAGGTATTACATAATCTAAAGTAGCTAAAGAATTGCTTATGTCCTGACAGAATTATCTCCTTGTGCACCCAAAGCTGTCAGCTTAAATAAGGCAATACATAGCACAGCCACTTGGAGTATTCCCATTTAGCGCCAACATCTTCTTCATGGAGTCGTCCATTTTTGCTGCCTTTGAATTGAAGCAGTTTCAACCTTTTTACGCTAACTCTTACCCATTTTCTTGTTTTCCTCCATCCCAGAGACATGCTCTAGAAGCATGACTGCACAGATGAACAAGTGGTTTCACGGGTAGAGGGGGATGAGCAGTGGAAGTAGATGGGCATGAATGTCAATGGTGGTGTTCTGGGTCTTCCATAGCTGGGCGTACCCCTCTTTCTCTGGGTGGTAGTGTGACGGATACAGTGCTACGTATGGTTGATGCACAGATGCGAAATGTGAACCTCCTCCGTGTAATATTGTATCTTCAAAACCACCATTGAGAAGTTGAACAGAAGGAGAAGAGATTTGCTCAGAAGGGTAGTCATCGGTAAGGTGTTCTTCACTGCAGATGAAAAAGAGTTGTTTGAAAGTATCTTCTTTATTCAGCTACTACATAATAAACTGCAGCCTGGGTCATTCGGATGTTCACATTCCCGATGCGCTCAGCCTTTGCAGAGCGCTGTAATTCCTCCCCCTGTAATACACCCTCGAACCCTACAAGGCTCCCTATGAAGTTGAGTGTTTTACAACTTAATGTTAATACATAATTAAGCTTTAATTTCTTCAAACACAGTTTATTTCCTTGAATGAAATCTTGTAAATTCATCAAAACCTTCTACAAAATAAAAGCAGATGAAATACCATGTTTTAGGTACAAATGTCAATATCAGGGACATGAAATTAATCAGGCATCTAAGACACTCAAGGCAGTTCACCCGCCTTCTTACGTTACTTGAAGATGAGTAATGCTTAGAAATCAGCATTTGAAATAGCTACAACTGGAACTACTAAGCTATCCCCCAAAAAGCTCATGTTTCTAAACTATCTTTTAAAAATGAAAACGTAGGACCAGAGTCTTGCCTTCTTCCCTGCTTCATACATAATGATTCTGTTTTAGTCACTATCTCGCTTGGATCAAATACACAAAACCAGTGAATGAAAGGAGGGAAAGTTTATTTTAGCTCACAGTTCATTGGGTTTGAGTCCATTCTCGGCTGGCTTCCAGGCAGGCCGGCATGGCCAAGGGCAGGGCAGAGGAGGCAGAAAGGGTGAAGGCAGGAAGAGGGATGTACACTGCTCCAGGCCACGCCCACGTTGACCGGTGTCCTCCCACCAGACCTCACCTCCCAACATCACACCCAGCTCTAAACTCACCAGTGGACCAGTCCTGTGCCTCACACTCGTGATCTGGTCACTCTGCAAAGCTCTACCTATGAATGCATGAGGTAAGGGGCCAAAATACAAATATGTTCTATAACTCGGCAAACGCCATTTAAAAATGTCATACCAGATCTCTTTTTATTGGGAATTTATATTCCATTAAGATTTAAGTAAAGAAAGGTGTTAACCAGCTTGGATTAACAACAACCTGGAAATTCAAACATGCTTTTTAACATATATTTGCTTTTTAACAAATTCTTTAGATTTATAGCAGAAAATGTGATTTGTTTCTCCCAAATGACATTCATTGATATAAAAAGCATTTTAAATGTCAAATGGGAGAATGTTTTTAAAGGAACTTCAATGTGATTGTGTTATGATTTCTTACTCTTCAAAGTACAAAGCTTCTGCCTAAAATTGAAAAGTTTTTGCATTTAATTAAATTCGTTCTAGAGCAGAGTTTTTCCCTTGTGGGCCTCACTAGACTTTGGCATTGAATATAAATATTTGTATGTCTCTCATTGACCCCAGTCTTTACTAGCAAAATCAAGAGGTAGCTGTGGCTAGAGCAGGCCCTACGAGGCTTAGAGGAAAAAGAAAACTTTCCCATTTGTGTTAGGAGCAGGTCAGCGCTAGCACTGCATCTTGGTGCTTCAGTCATGAAATTTTCCCATAACAAATTGTAAAACTGTTCCTCAGCTACTGATTGCAAACTTCCATGAATCAGCCCTCTGGAGGGCTTCTTAAAGCATTAATGCCTGAGACTGTGCATGTCTGGGTTGGGACAAATTTGCATTTCTGGCAAATTCACAGGGGCTGCTGATGTGGGGAATGGGACACCAGGATAATCACTACTTCACAGTAATAACTCACACTCGGGCTTTAATGTTGTTAAAGCTCTTTCATGCCTTTTTTTTTTTTTTTTTTTTTGATTCAGGGTCTCGCTCTGAAGTTTAGGCTGGTCTTGAGCTCACTTTGTAGCCCAGGTTGGTCTCGGATTCGCAATGCTCGATCCTCCTGCCTCAGCCTCCCAAGTGCTGGGATTACAGGCGTGCACCACCACGCCTGGCGTATGCCTTTTTATTTAACAAACTGGATTCTAATCCATCCTGTGAGATGCAGCAGAGAGCTACTCTTCCCTCCATTTTACAGACTGCAGGTTCTCCTCCCATATTCCATTTCACTGAACACGGTCCCCATCCACGAATGTGCCTGAAACAGAAAACTAGGAGACACCCAACTCCCCCGACTCTGCGACCCTGTCCGAGTGGCACTGTTTTCTTTGTGAGATGCAAGTCCTGCTCCCTCCCACTCTGTGTCTGTGTTTTCCTGTCCCTCATTACTTGATATTCATGTTTAAATTTTCCTAGGAAACTGTTTCATTAAGTTTCGTATATATTGAATCAGGATAGGTTATCTTTTTATATGGAGCTAATGTATTTCATCCTCTTTTTAGTGTTCTTGGATCCAATTTCTCCTTCAAATGTGCACATTTTGTGGCCCGACTTTTTAATTATTGGCCATTTTACAAGGGTATCTGTATCTGCAGCTGTCTTACTTGAAGCACGTTAGACATCGTGAGAACTCTTCAGGTAGAAAGATGAACCGCTAGGCCTCCTGTAGAGGGTGGAATCTGACTCCCAGCTCTCTTACTTGATTTAATCTCTTCTTCCTTTCCCCAAGTACTTTTCACACTTCTCTTTCTAAATTTCTCCCTTTGCCTCGTTAATTTCAGCAGCAGACTCATCAAAGCTGTGGTCTAACAGGGTGAGCTGCTCTTCTGAGAAAAAGTTATTGCTACTAAATACAATTACTCCTTCTCGTGAAATGTTAAAAGAACTTAAACTAGGCTTTTGCTAAATTGCCAGGCTCACTAGTGTTAAAATGCACCTGATGTAATTTTCCCTAACTTGAAATATCTACAATCTGCATCTCCATTTTTAAAAGCTTTCTGTAGATGCCACTTGGCAATTACTCAGGGAGCAGCTGTCAAACTCTCCTTAGTCACACAGGGAGGAGGGGAAGGTCCCTGGTAAACCTGCCCCCCCTCACTTGAAAATCATTATACCACCTGGAAAACAGGATTGGAGAGGTTTGCAGATGCATTATTGAA